TTTACAGGTTCAACGTAGGAGGAGCTTATGTGGAAATAAACAAAGACTCGGGGATGTTTCGTGAATGGATTCAAGATGATCCCTATCTTTTTGGTGGAGATTTTGGTTATTCACCTCATAGAGCATATCTTCCAATCAAGTACACTAAACAAACCCCAGCTTATGTTGCACCAGAAATAGTTTACACTACCTCAAGAGTAATAGCCAACGGTAGCAAAATTTTGGAATGGAGTTTTCCTATTTATTCTGGGTTTTACTATCTCCTCAGACTTCATTTCTGTGAGATTCAGCTGGAAGTTACCAATCAAAACGAAATGCCTTTCACTATTATAGTCAACAAGCATATAGTAGACAGTGAAGTTGATGTTATTTTCATAACTGGTGACCCCGAAATTCCTTATTTCAAAGACTATGTCATATGGGTTAGTGATGATGGCCGCCATGGACAAAGAAACCTGAACCTTTCTTTGCTCCCAAACACTATGCACCATCCTATGTACAACAATGCGCTCTTAAATGGCTTAGAAATCTTCAAAATTAGTAATTCTAGTCATAGTCTTGCTGCAGCAAACCCTGATCCTATACAGTTGGCCCTGGACAATAAGCCCCCAAAGATGAATAGTAAAGGATCATCTTTGCTTCATTATGTTTTCGGGAGTGTGGCTGGAGTTCTAGTTGTACTCTTATTTATCAGCTTCATCATTTTTCGGCGTCGCAGAAGGGAGAGAGGCACCAGGACAAATGCCACGAAGTCATCACGGGTCCCACCTTCGTCCACGTCAAAATCAGCCACGAAGACCAGTGGTTCGGGTTCATCACTACTATCTGAACTGTGTCGACATTTTTTGTTGGAGGAGATTAAATTTGCGACGAATAACTTTAACGACAGTTTTGTGATTGGAAGGGGAGGATTTGGTACGGTGTATAAAGGGTACATTGACAATGGTGCAACTACAGTCGCAGTCAAGCGATTGAATCCATTATCGAAACAAGGGGCACTCGAATTCAATACAGAAATCCAAGTGTTATCAACATTGAGGCACCTTCACTTGGTGTCGTTGATTGGATATTGTGATGAAAAAGGTGAGATGATCTTGGTGTATGATTACATGCTAAATGGTACATTACGTGATCATCTCTGCAAGACAGAGAATTCCTC